CTCTCTCTCTCTCTCTCTCTCTCTCTCTCTCTCTCTCTCTCTCTCTGTGCTCTGTGTGTGAGTGTGTGTGCTGTAGCTGCAAACAGATATGTTGGCAGCTCGTGAGCCAGTGCATGTGTGTGTGTTGTCACAACTCCTCCAAAAAAAGAGCACGACTGTGCCAGACTGTTTCATCGGACTTCCACCAGCTCAGCAAGAGGTGGAACCCTGAAAGTCTGCACAGGGTGCATTTGACTGACGGGTAAGGACTCACCGCGTCGCCCAGAGTTACTGATACCCCTGAGAAAAGTGGTCAACTTTGCTAAGTTTGCTCACACCAGCCCTGCAATCCGCCCAGACTGTCGGTCCAAAACGCTGACAAGAACGGCAAAAAGTCTGAGAAACTAGTCTATGACAACCATAAAACCAGGTCCACAACCCAGCATGTGTGTAAGCGAGAGAAAGAGAGGGAAGCATTCCAAAGCCATTTTCTCACCCGTCCAGAGAAAGGCAGATGTGGTTGAGAATGGAGAGGGGGGAAGGGCAACAGGGAGCAATGACGCTCATGGAGAGATCACGTGAGAAGACCAACCAACGGGCCTACCAGCTCACTGACCAACTGACCACTGCCCCACGGACGGTGGATTGACAAACCGACTTACTGAGGGACTGGCAACGACTGACTGACAGACCCTGCTATCCTAGCAGGCTGTCCATCCAAAACCCTCACAAGAGCTGTCTGAGAAACTAATCTGTGACAGCCATAAAACCCAGAGTACACACCCACTGTGTGTGTAAGAGAGAGAAAGAGAGGGGCACATGTGGTTGACGTTGGAAAGGGGCAACTGGGAACAGAGAGCAATGACGCATGGTGTGCATGGAGAGATCGGGTGGAAACGGATGAACACAGACCAACCAACGGACCTACTGGCCGACCGACCTGCTGACCCACTGACCGGCCAAGGGACTGATGGATTGACCAACCAAGGACTGACAAGGACTGGCTGACAGACAGGCATGGGACCCCCGCAGTGAGCCTCCACTAATCATCCCATTAGTAGGCCAACACAAAAGTTCCACTTCATCCAAGTCAGGCATAAGCTATACTCTATGGTGTCCAATGTCCATCCAAAAATCTCTCAGGTACAGACCTTAGCCTCCCTGAGTGATGCCTCAAGCTCCCCTTTGAATGCAGCAGATTCTTTCAGCTTGTCCTCCATTATCTTGTAAGATTGCACCATTCGGAAATGCTTTTCTGCACCACAAGGTTGACCACAAAAAGCCAGCTACAAATCAGTTGAAAACAAAGGAGCGCAGACCTCCACAAAATCTGGAAAAGAGCATAGCGTGCTTGATAAATGTGAGAACAAATAAGTTGAAGTAACATCATTCCACAGAAGAGATGAAGTGTGTACTTTGGAAACCAAGCAGAAACCTAGAAATTGCAAGAACGACGACTGGAGCACCACCCAAAACAAACGTGAGGTTGTTATATCAGGTAGTTGACAAGCTGACACTTGCCATCCCGACCTCTTCCTCGACGATCACCGTTGCTTCCTGCTCAATGTCATAACTGCATATTCGAACCCCAAAATTGCACAACAAATGACTCGAGCACCACCCAGAAACAAACATGAAGTCGTTACATCAGGGGGTTTACGAGCTGGAGCTCGCAATTCTGACCTCTTTCCTCAATGATCACCGTTGCCTTCTGCTCAATCTCGTAATAAACCTGCAGAACCAAACAACGACAAAACGCAGGACAATACGAGAGAATGAAGAGGAAACAAGCCGCCATAGTACTGGGGGGTCAGTGCACCACTTCAATAATTCAACAAGATTACCTGCAACACCTTTCTCGCACACAAACTCCAGTTCTGCAAAGTGACAAATAGGTTCCCAAGAAAGAATAGATGGTAAGATGGATAGCCTGGCACAGCTTTGTGAACTGAAACTCGATTTCAATAATCAATCATGCAATGGCAGCCCTCTTTCCAGTCTTCGCCTTCCATCATGCTAATCTCTCTCTCTCTCTCTCTCTCTCTCTCTCTCTCCTCTTCCAACCCTAGTGCGAACACAGTGATCTGAGAGCGCTCCCTGGGAAAAAAAAGAGAACCCAAATCAAAGCTCTCGCTCCACACATGGAGGGTGAGAGAACTTGTCCAGGTGCAGGCCCTGCCGTCATTATAAGAAAAAAGTACATTCCCGAATCCTGTTTCTGCCCTCATAATTGTGGGCGCATGCATTCAAAACACCTGCCCATTACTTGGCTCAAAGGCAACTGTTCTTTCATTTTTCAAGTACCCACGAATTTGGAAAGCTGCATTCATGACAGCCCTTCCCAGTACTCAGCAGGAGGCTGGTTTTCACAGGCCCCTAAGACGCAACAGCAGAAAGGTAAAAAGACGGTGAAGAAATCCCTGAAGAAATCCCCTCTTTTCTTCCCTTAAAACCCCTTGAGTTGAGCCACAATTGCAGTCAGTTACTCTCTCAGCATAGGTCATTGTCAGCAGAGCTTCTGGCATTCTCACAGCACAGCGCCGTCACTTCAGCTGTTTTCCATTTTTTCCCTTTCTTTTGCTTGTGTTACGATCCAATGGCTGAGAAATTGTGAAAGCCTGATAAACTCCCAAAATACATCCAAACTTTTCCGAAGTCTAGAAATGAACCATCGCCTAAACATCAATCCAACCACAAGAACTTATCAACAGTCGCATGTTCCGTGGATGGTAATCCCAAAAGCTTAGGAATATTATGTGCCGCTCAAATCCAATTGCTAACAGTGAGTGCAGGGGAACAAATTTTCAAAGCGAGCCGGCCGTATTCTGATCCCACTGGAATAAGATATGCCACCTAGGACCACAGTTTCCCGGGCTCACAGTGCAGCCTGACGGCCCAGGTGGTTGTTGAGAGTAGCATAGATGCAACATTGAACTCCAATACTGAAACTTTTACCTGAGGGCCATGTCACAATACCTCCACACACTTATGACAACAAAAAGAATAGAAAAGAAGAACTATGTATAGCCCTTTGAATTATCCACCTCCCCTCATACTCCCCATGAAGCCCACAAATGGTTGTTGGAAGAAGGCTCAGATATGGGCTCAATTTGGCATGCACAAAACAATTACAGTATCCTATTGATCACAGGCCGAAAAGCTCTCTCTGCAGGTCTCAACTGGTGTAGACATGCCTGATAGATGGACTGGCACCTGCTCGGGGCAGACAACCTGCTGTTCCAACTTGACATGCAGATGACCTGAGTGGATAGCCTTGTTAGAGTCGTAACCTAATGATTCAGGTGCTGAAAGAGGTTCTAAGCATAAAAACTCACAACACAGTGCAGCACACAGCCAAACCCATATCTCCAAACCCCAACCAAGGATGCCTTCATAGGGGAAGCCTTCATCCCAATGAATGCAGAGTAGATTGGCTCAATGTATAGCAAGTCTTCATCATATTCCAGGGAAACAGCACATTCAAAGAGTGGGCATGGAAATGCTGCCATGCAGGTTGAAAACTACCGCAAAATCCCCAGGAACTTGTACCAATTATCACACTCCCCGTACGTCCAAATGCAAAATCACAGCACTATTACTTGATCAGCACACTTGCACAAAGGTAGTACGGTTGCATTCCATCAGTTCACACAGAAAACAGACTAAACAATGTATAATGAATCACCAAAACGACGCACACAAAACCACCACTTACCACAGACATTATGCTACTTATGCATCAAAGACAGTGCTGCATCGGAACAGCACAAGTTACAGCAACATCAAATTAACAACCAGAATGCTACTAGCAGTTCGCCGCACCCAGCAAGACCCGAATATCTACCAAACCCACAGAGGAGACAACAGTTCCTAATGCACAAAGGCATACCCTGTCGAGGAGGCTCTGAGCGTGAAGGCGCTCCTGCTTCTCATGCCGCCATGCATCCGCAGCTTCTTGATACTTCGCATACATCGTTGTCAGCTGGTTGGCACAATGCACCAATCACGAGGTACTATTTAGATCACCGCCAAGGCCTGTCCTTGCCTAAAAGTCAGATAGCATAGTCATTGCCTATCAAGCACACACAACAGTCAATAGTCACAAACATTTATGTTCTCATTACCCGGTCTTTTGCCCTCAAATCAGCCACACGGGAAGAAGTTGATCTCTATACATATAGAGGAAAACGCGGGTCTCGCATAACGGTCCCTCGTGAGACCCGGTTCCCTCGTGAGACTTGCCGTGCCGGGCCCACGGGCGGAGCACCAGCCGTTTGTCGGTTCGCCCGTCGTTTGTCCGTTCAAAAAGTTTTGTCGGTTGACGGTCCCTCTGCTGGCATGATCGTCCCGGGACGCAGCGGGACGTCTTTTCAGGAGGGGGGGGTGTATCAGCATGATCGTCCCGGGACGCAGCGGGACGTCTTTTCAGGAGGGGCGGGTGTACATCGGGACGTGGTTTCGGAGTCGGGGGGGTGTGGTGTTTTGACGTTTCGGGACGCATCGGGACGTCTTTTCAGGAGGGGGGGGTGTACCGGCAGCGCAGCGGTGTGGTGTTGGCATCGGGACGTGGTTTCAGAGTCGGGGGGTGTGTGCGGACGTGCATGCATCGGCGGGTGGGGAGGTAGTATACACAACCGTCTATATATATGTATCGAGAGGTGAGATAGCGCAGTCGGCGCTGAATTTGTCGAACTGGTGGTCAGCGGTGAATTTGTCGAGGTTGACTGATCTCTCTCTCTCTCTCTCTCTCTCTCTCTCTCTCTCTCTCTCTCTCTCTCTCAAAGTCAGCGGTGAATTTGTCGAGGTTGACTGATCTCTCTCTCTCTCTCTCTCTCTCACGACGAAAGAGAGTGTTCAGTGTCCGGGAAGAGAGTGGAGAATGTTGTGACGACGAAATTTGTTGAAGCAGTGGTCGGCGCTCACTTCGTGCAAGTGTTGCTGGTGAATTGAAGGAGGGGCCTATCGCAACAAAAGAGAGTGTGTATCTTTTAGGCTGTGAGGACCGAAGACGACATGGCTGATCAAGGTGCGTCTCTCTCTCTCTCTCTCTCTCTCTCTCTCTCTCTCTCCATGTGCCCTATGCCTTCGCACCACCAAGCGAATTGGAGATGCTCTGTCAAAGAAACGGCAAAAAAAAAGAACAGAGCATGCATCGACAATTCGTTGTATGCCGGAAAAAGAAATAAAAGAAGGGAAAAAAAAAAATATATATGGCCAAAAAAAGGACAAAATGCCAGAAAAACGACAGGGTATGGACAGACAACAATCCTTCTCCACCCGATCAATCAGGAATGGATTAATCAATCAATCGATCGATCAATCAATCAATCAATC